CCCTCCCACAAACATGTTGAGGTTAATTGGTGATTCTAAATTGTCCGTAGGTGTCAATGTGAGTGTGCTTGGTTGTCTGTCTCTAAGTGTAGCCCTGTGATAGACTGGTGACCTGTCCAGGTGAACCTGCCTTCGCCTGAAGTCAGCTGGGATAGGCTCCAGCCCCCCAAGACCCCAATGAGGATTAAGTGGTGTATAGATAATAGATGGATGGATGTTGGGAGAACATTATTTGGTCAGATGAGACCAACATAAACTTGTTGGGCTCAGATGGAGTCCAGCATGTTTGGTGTGAACTTATAGTCCTGACAGTGAAGCATGGAGGTGGCCGTCTGATTTGTAGACTATATTTGTAGATGCACCGTTAACGTCTGTGGATAAACCAAAACACTGTTTGACTAGATAACTCCCAGTCTGTAGAGGCTTGAAGAATATTCCAGCAGGAGAACCAAACTCATGCAAGAGTTTCTATAGAAAAAAAAAACTGACTTGGACAAGCATGTGTCCTGACTTAAGTCTAATAGAAAACCGTTTGGGTGTTTTAGAGAGAAAGGAAAAGGAGCTCATCTCCTCCAGCAAAGAGCTGCAGATTAATGATGTAATTAAAGTAAACGTGAACAGGCAAAGTTCTTAATTTTTCGTCAGAGCAAACAGCCTACTGTTTAAGACATGATGCAGGTATGGAGAGGTGATCAAATTTAAAATCCTCTGACATGTATTGATGCTGAACTCACTTCTGTCGTGTCATTTAGGTTGTTTCTATGCAGATTAACAAGAATCCTGCATGCTGCAAACGTAAAATTTAAATCATTTAAACGAGGAACACTTCGGACGATTATTAATTAATGAGGAGGGAAATCTTATTTTAAGTCGTGTTTCCTTTCGGCTAAAGAACTCTGTGAGCCCCACGAGACTTGAAAACACACTGGCGAAGGTAAAGATAATGAGCGTTTTGGAGGATGTGAAACACGCTGAAGGACGCGCACTCTGTTCCCAATCAGAGCCGACGGAATCTGTGTAGGTGGAGATGGAAATAATCTGTAGTGATCAATTACCTGCTTGATCCATAACAACGTCCTCGTCGGCTGAGGAGCGCATAAACAGCGAAGGTCACCGACGTGGAGCCCAGCAGCCCGACGACGCCACAGCATTTCTGCATTTCCCTGCATATCAATGGGTGATACATGCAAATTATCCTGTTGAATAAATGACCCCGATTCTATTGCGGCTGTACAGCAGCGTTGCATCACGCAGTTTTAGTCAAGTTTCCTCCCCTCGGGGCCTCGAGGAAGTATTCGCTCTGAAATTTGTCTGGATGGAGACGAAACTTTCTCCTCCTTCAGCATGTTGTTGAAAGCAGCTTGCATCATGAATACGTTGGAGTTAACATTCACTGATCAATAATTAAGCGCAGCCTGTGTGAACGGGCATCGCTTCAGGTTTATTGATTCACCTTCTGAGGCTGAGAACTAATGAGATGAAGACTGCTGAATAACATCAGCACTTCTGAATCCAGATGATACACCTCNTGGTTCTGTAGTTTTCAAGAATCGAAAAAGAGAAGTGGAGTTATCTTAGAGGAAGTTCTCGGGAAGAGAGCGAATATTTAGAAGATTTTGTTCCAGTTTCTACGCTGCGAACGAAAGCTAGAAGCAGTCGTTGTTTGCCGTCCAACTTGCAACCAACCCCAACACCTTCCTTCCTGTTCCTCCAGAAGGGGTCTTGGCAGGGCCGGTCCTGACCAATTTGGTGCCCCAGGCAAGATTGTAGTTTGCGCCCCGAGCATCACAGTGAATTTCACTCCTAATTTCCATACAGTAACACAAACTGTATGCATGTATTCAAGCTTTATTTAAGTATAAACAACACACTAAATGAAACTGAAGAAACAAGTCTTTGCGACACTCCCTGGCTAACTGACATGTATTCAGGCGAATATTTAACCACAAGCGCCGATGTAGGTCCTCTACCGTCGTCTTCAGACGTTAGCGAAGACGGTTCGCTAACGTCTTAGCTGCTAACGTTAGCAGCTAACGTCTTTGCTGCTAACGTTAGCAGCTAAGATGCTAACGTAACGTCTTTGCTCCGAACGTTAGCAGCTAAGACGCTAACGTTTTCGCTAACGTCTTCGCTGCTAGCGTTAGCAGCTAAGACGCTAACGTAACGTCTTTGCTGCTAACGGTAGAGAAACTGCATCGGCGCTTGTTGATAAATACTTGCCTGAATACATGTCAGTTAGCCTGGCAAGCTTGTGGCGCCCCCCGTGGATGTCGGCGCCCTTAGCATTTGCCTATACTGCCTATGCCTAGGACCGACTCTGGGCCTTGGTCTTAGAGTTCTTGGGCAAACAGCTGCATCCCCATCGTTGTCGGTTCAGTGGAGTCATTCAGAGTCAAATGTGGTTTCTTTTAGGTGTTGGAATCCACAAAGATGACCTTTTGTTTATGTTTGTGATGTTGAAGGACGGGATGTCAAGTTGCTGAACGGCGTTTCATCGTCTTAGTACATATACTCAAGGCAATGACAATGAAGTAGAGGAACGGTTTACAGTTTGGTCTCCCTTTTGCTTCCTGTGCACAGAGAGCATGACTAGCGTTAGCAAACACTTACGTAGACCGATTCAAATGTAGCATCTCCCTGTTTTTTTGTTGCGTCAGTGCTGGCTGAAGACTGGAGTCGGGTCCACACCGAGGACGAGCTCTTCAGGAGTCTGTTCGGAGGCTACAGCAAGTGGACTCGTCCGGCGCAGAACATCACGGACGTCGTCATCGTCAAGTTCGGCCTCTCGATCGCGCAGCTGATAGATGTGGTTAGATCACACGCACACAACATACACAACAAATTAGACTGAATCAACACGTAAACTCATAAGGAGTTGATCTCTCACAGTAATACACACTAGACTTCACTCACTGTGTCAGTTTTTACTCCAAAATAGGACGAGAAAAACCAGATGATGACGACCAACGTGTGGCTGAAACAGGTGAACGAAGCAAAGACATATAAACTGAAGGGTTTGTGTCTTAAAACCGGCTTACCTGTTGTGTATTTGTTGACAGGAATGGACTGACTACAAGCTGCAGTGGAGTCCCTCCGACTACGACAACGTGACGTCCATCAGAGTTCCCTCCGAGCTCATCTGGGTGCCCGACATCGTGCTGTACAACAAGTATGAAAAACTATCACCATCTTTTCACAAATTTAAGGGACCACAAATAGAAACACTAAACAATATCAACCAAATACTTTAGGATTTAACATTTTGAAGCCTCACAGTAGAAACTCAGTGCAACAAACACAAACATGAAGGCACCTGTGACTTCCAATCAGCCTAATTGGATAAACATGGTTCTAAAACGAGCTGGAACATCAGAACTTCCTCAGTTTTCTGTATGTCTGCATCCATATGGAAAATAATAGAACAGACGAACTGGGAAACATGATGGATGCAAGAAGATCAGTGAGCAAATAAAAATCAGTCAAAGCAGTAATCAGGAGGTGTAGAAGGAGCCATAGTGCCACTAATCAGGGCTGCAGGGGGTCGTCCTCCTAAAAAACACAGACGGCAGCTGATTGAGACTTGGTACAGAGGTTATGAATGGAAATCAGAGTCTCTGTGAAGCTCAGACAGCGTGACAGATGTTTCCATATATCAACATTAGGACAGTTGCTTTTTGTTGATCACAAA